AAAAAAAAAATTTTTTTTTTTTTTGAGCAATCTCCAGAGAGAAAGCTCTAATGCAGCTTTCTCTGGGTTATCTTTTATTGCAATTTTTCTCATCACTGTGGATTCACAATATGTTATTGATTTTACAATTTCCAAATTTTGCCAAGATGTGACATTTCCTTAACAATCAATCATTAGGGGTAGAGAAAAATGTGACATCAATTTACATTTTTCCAGGATGTGACATTTTCTTATTATTATGGGTACAAAATCATTGATAAAATATGTCACTTATTTGAATTTTTCAGATTTTTCCAAGATGTACTATTTTATTATTAATAGATGCAGTAAATATATTTTTTAAAAAAAGTATTCTGAATAAAATGGTCAAATGAGGACAACAATCTGAGTCAAGATACCTGGTAGTTGGTATGAGAGATTAATTTAACATCTCTATATCTCTAGGCATTAAGTTACCCATATGTAAAATATATTTAGTAATTTATGCTCTACTGGGATGACTGCATAAGAAAATGGATATAAAAGTAATTCAAGAAACAACAAAACCAAGTTCCTACCAACTGCACTTGGAATCCTCACGTTCTAACTCTCTACTCAACCAAATTCTACCCCTTTGTGCCTGAAATGCATACTCACTTCTCTTAACAACTACATCAACTTTCTCTTTTTTGATCATATAATTGGAACCACACTGCTCCCTTTGGAGTCTCTCCTGACTTTAAGAGAATGGGTTTGTTCCCTGACCTCCAACAACTGAAAGCTCCTCTAGAACAGAGACCATTCCTCGCCTTGGTGCTGCCCTCCATTCACATCAGGTAGCCCTCAGTCATGACTCCCTGACAACAAATGAGGCTTAAACAATACGTTCCCAGCTAAAAATGTACCACGCAGCCCATTTATAATTCCATAGATTATATAGCACTGGTTCTAAACAGGTCACCCAAAATTGTGGCTGAATGATCCCAAAATAGGCATGACCCTGACTTTCCTGGACATCATATCACTTTCTGGATGTGAGCTGCTCCAAGCATACTGATTCTATTAGTCCTTGGGTGAGTTACCTGCACCACTGTTGCTAAGCAGGCTGACAGAAAGTTCTTCTGTTCCACTGAAGTTCAAGAAGGACAAGCCGTCACCAGGCTGGCGGGAAGTGCTGTGTCTGCAGAGAACAGAGCCCAGCCACCTGGCTTAATGAACATCATCAACTCTTTCTCCTGCTTACCCTATATCCCAGTGGGGATGTTAGGTAGAGAAGTCATGAAACAGGCCTGAAATTTAGCCCCAGAGACTGACAATCCTTGGGATCTATATCTCTAGCCATCAGGTGAAGATGCTTCATTGTGTGCCAGCTATGGCCTCCTCCCCTGGCACTCTGGCCACTTTCCCATAGCCATGTTAGACCACCAGACCTTTCTGTCTTCTGCCTCCCTCTGACTGACAAGGATACATGTGAGATGTTTGAATAGGTACACCAGGGTTAATGTGGTAAAGAGGGCCACACCCTGCCCTGAGCACTCAGCCAACCCACAAGATGTCAAAGTGACTAAAAGAGAGGCCAAAGAGGGCAGGGGTTTGCACTTGCCTAGCATGCACCAGGCCCTGTGTTTGATCCCTAGCACCAAAAAGTAGGGGTGGGGGTAGGGGCAAAGACCACTTTTTGCAAGTGTTTCCAAACAATACAGAAACAGTGAGTATTAGTATAACCTGAGCTCATGCTTGTCAAGTCTTAAATGACTTTCTTCCTACACTGACTATCTTTAGATGCCTTATAAACACATTCAGACTCTGGTTCAAAAAGACTTTTTTCCATAAAAAAATGAGGCCTTAATCTCATTTTTTTTCCCATTAACTTCTTTTAAACTCAACAGTGAAATTTCTTAGTGATCAAAATGACAAGTCACAGGGATACTGCCCAAAATGACAGCATATACCTGTCTCAGAACCCCAAATTCAAAGCCTTTTCTCTCTTGTTTGCATCCTTGACTAAGGTTTGAAAGACAGCTATCTTTAAGGTTTACAAAGTGCAACCTCAAAATGAACCTAAATCAGGGTCTAGGTAATACCACAGGCAAAAATGTCAAGCTGTTGGCTTTATATTTCATCCAGGAAGTGGCTGAAGAAGACCTCATATTACCTTTTCAAGTCTTATAAACATGATACTTTGTGAGTAGTCTGTTTTGCACATTATCATGGGTGCCAAGAGTGTTCTGAGGTTACCTTCCAGAGCCCTGTGCACATTCTCACCTTCCAGCTGCTTCATGATATGCTAACTCCAACAGCTCTGCAGAGGAGTGAGTTGGATCCCTCTGCCCACTGCCCTGCAGCTCCGCCATATTCTGCCGGGTCTGATGATGGATCTGAATCGCCTCTCCAGATGGTCCTATCCAGACAAAGAACCACGAAGGATCATTCCCACCTGATGGTTAGTTCTATGTACTTAACGGCAATCTCCCTTCTTACCAACAGAAGGGATATAGGTATTAGGAAACTCAACAAAGGGCACACCACAAAAGAACATTATAAAAGGAATCCTCTGGTTCCCAGAAAGAACACCTCCCCCTCCAAGCAAGATTGGTGCTACTAAGGAACCTCATGTTTATCATCCTGCTTAATCTATTAACATTTCAGAAGCCTCTATCTCATGCATGCCAACAGAGATACAGAGAAATACAGAAGTACAGGAGAATTAACACAAACTAAATGAGAAAAAAACATGAACGAAACATCAAATGACTCCACTAATAACAAGAAAATAACAAATGATTCTAAGAAGCAGAAGATTCTGAAGTGCAAAAAAGAGCATGAGAGATCAGAATTAGCCAAATCTATTTAAATAAGCTTCCTAGAAACAGAGATTTTAGAGCTAAGTGTTAAACAAGATTAACAGGGGTTGAAGGAAAAGGGTAGGAGAGATGACATCAGAGTTTAGTTGGGAAAGGATAGTATCTCTGAAGAGGAAAATAAGAAGACAGGAAGTTGAGGAGAGACGAAGTTGAGGAGCCTAGCAATGGAGGGCCTTAGCTATTAGAGAATCAGATGGAAAAGAGGATGAAACAAAGTCAACATTGTTTGGAGACTGTTGTTTTAGTAACTGTGAAGGGTGCAAGGAGGAAAAAGCACAGAAGCTGGAAGAGTTGAGGGTCACAGAAGAAAGTTCTCTCAAGAGATCTCAAAGCAAACCAATGGGGAAAACATGGAGAGAAAAGACAGCAGAAAAAAGCAAGTAGTCTCATTATCTCTTATTATCTTTTCTCTGCTATAAGAGGGCAGAAGAGGTTTGGGAATGACCTCCAATTTTAATCAAATTAACCAGATTAATTTCTCATTTTTTAAACTTTTAAACAGTAAAAGAAAGTGCAAAAAGAAAACAGATACTTTCAAGCATTCAGCAGGATGCTTTCCATTTAAAAAAAAAAAAAACTGGAGCATCAGACACGGTGGTGCAGGTTTATAATCCCAGCGGCTCAGGAGACTGAGGCAGGATGATCAAGAGTTCAAAGACAGCCTCAGCAATGGCGAGGTGCTAAGCAACTCAGTGGGACTCTGTCTCTAAATAAAATACAAAACAGGGCTGGGGATGTGGCTCAGTGGTCAAGTGTCACTGAGTTCAATCCCCGGTACAAAAAAAAAAAAAAATGGAGGTAATTCATGTTACTTCTTAACCTAGTAAGAGCTGATTAATCTGAAGTTTAATTTTAGTTACAGCTTTATAAAACCTTGCCATCATCTTCTTGACAACAGAAGACAGATCAAAAAGAATGTCCTCAGCACCACATAAAAATAAATAAATAAATAAAAGTATTTTTTAAAAAAAAGAATGGCCTAGGGAAAAAATTGAATTTTTAAAAAATTTCTTCAAAGCTGGACACACTGGCACATGCCTGTAATTCCAGCAACTTGGGAGGGTAAGATAGGAGAATCAAGTTTGAGGACAGCCTCAGCAATATGGCAAGGCTCTAAGGAATTTAGCAAGACCCTACCTCAAAATTTAGAAAAATAAAAAATAAATAAAAAGGATTGGGGATGTAACTCAATAGTAAAGCACCCCTGGGTTCAATCCCCAACACCAAATGTATATATATAATTATATATATAATTATATATACATATATACACACACACACACACACACACACACACACATATGTATACACACACACACATATTTTTCTTCAGTTATCAGAAACCTCTAAGAGAAGACATAATCTTATAACAAAGACAATAAGATCAATATACAGAGAGAACAAAGAGAAAAAAGAATGAAGAGACTTTACGCGTTAGGAAAGAAAGTAGGTGGCAAAGCATAGTCCTTTTCAAATAGGGGGGAAAAAAGAGTCCTTAGGTTAATATACCTAGTGAGGTACAAAGCCTATTCTCAAATACATCTTCAAGAATCCTCAAAAGAACCCCTGATATTGTCAAGTTTATCCCCATTACACTGGTGACAAATGTTCAGAAAAGTAGAAGCACTTAACAAAAGTCACATAGTCGATTAATATGGAAGAGTGGGGCCAAGAACTCCTAGTTCAAGGCACTTTCCTGTGCAACCAACTTACCCACAGGAAAAGTGTGCATCCAACGTCTTCTATTGGACGTGAGCTTCATAGGCATCCGTGAGGGGGCAAAGGGGTTAATCAGTGCTCTCTGGGGTGTGTATCCACCAGGTCGAACATGTAGCATGGACTCTGCACTGCCTACATGGAACCTCCCTGGTGCACTGGAGTCTCGCTGTGGTGGCTCCATCATGTTCTCCAGGACATCTGAAAGTTATCATGGAGTTGAGCCACAAAGACAAATTATAGAATCACAATGAAACCAAAACTAGGTGTACTAATAGCTGAGGTTGACAAGAATTTTGGACATCATAAATGTCAGAAAGTGACAGAAATGAGTAAAATTGCTAAAAAAAATACACAAATTTAACATGTTTAATTTTTTAAATACTTAGGAGAAGGGGATTTTCACTCTTGAAATACTGGCCCAGTGAATTACAAACCCAAAGGGAAAAACCACGCATCACCTGGAGACCTTGGACTTTTACCTAGATACAATAACTAAATAATGGGATTTTAGTTGTTTCCATTAGGGACAGGTTGAGTATATTTTTCTTTGGGAACCACAGGAGGATACTAGGGATTGAACCCAACAGGACTTTACCACTGAGCTACATCCCCAGTCCTTTTTATTTGGAGAAAGAGTATCATCAAGTTGCTACCGCTGGCCTTGAATTTGCAATCCTCTTGCCTCAGACTCCCAGGTTGCTGGGATTATAGGTGTGTGCCACCATACCTGATAGGATAAGTGTATTCTTTATGCGGAAGGAACAATAAAAATAAATATTTAAGCCAGGAATAGTGGTGCACACCTATAATCCCAGTGACTCAGAAGGCTGAGACAGGAGGATTGTCAGTTCAAGGCTAACCTTAGCAACTCTGCAAGACCCTGTTTCAAAATAAAAAACAAAAAGAAGTGCAAACATAGCTCAGTGGTAAAGCACTCTTGGTTTCAATTCCCAGTATAATCATTCAACAAATATAAATTATATTTATATATATATATATATATATATATATATAAAGATACCTATATTCTGGTGAGCCAGAAGGGCAGACTCTGGCAGAGTTAATAAACTGTTCACTAATCCCAAATGATTACAATTCCCTGTGCTTTTGCACTGAAGTTATATGAATTAGTTCCTGCTAACAGAACACGGGTAGAAGTGACATATCTTCCAGGCCTGGTACACAATTATCTCCATGCATGATCTCCATTCTGAGTACGACACAATTATAGAACCAAATGGAAATAAGAAGAAAAACAGAGTAAAGGTTTTTCTTAAAAAATAGTATAATACACACATACCTAACACCTAATCTGATTAGTACTCATTGCATTGACATGGAAATAATTAAGATAAGGGATGTTTTACCCAATCTGACCACTCCTTGCCACTCTCAACACCTACTATAATAAGGAAACTATCCCCAGCTTTACACAGCTCTGCCTGTGCTTCAGCACTCTCACCTCGAGTGCTGGTGTAGCCCAAGGAGCTGCTGACTTCATACTGGTGCAGGTGGGGGTGTGGGATCATCAGGATGTTGGCACTTTTGCCCAGGGAGCTGTCGTCAGAAGCCTGGCTTCTTACTTCCTCAGTGGGTAGTGCACGGTTCGGAAGGGAAGGACTGGATGAGACATCACAAGAGCTGGCACTCTTGCGATTGTGATTCTCCCGCTCCCGCACAGACCTGCCAGGTAAGAGAAAACTCACCACCAAGCAAGGGCTCCTATCTTATCTCAAGTTAAAACTCCAAAACCCATCACCTACTCAATGTACTTAAAGAAAGTATTTTCTACTCAAAGAAAACCCTATGTCATGGATCAGAGGTGTTGCCCTTAGCTGTCTGATATGTAGTATAAGAAAGGGGAGAGGTCTGGGGTTGTGGCTCAGCGGTAGAGCACCCGCCCAGCACGCGCAAGGCCCCAGATTCGATCCTCAGCACCACGTAAAAATAAAGAAATAAAATAAAGGTATTGTGTTCATCTACAACTAAAAATTTTTAAAAAAAAGAAAGAAAGAAAGGGGAGACACAGATGCCAGTTTTCAAACAGCAGAAATCCAGGGATCACAATTGTAAAGAAGTGATTACTCCATTCTGACACCACTGATCAATCTCACATCACTAGAAGTGGAATAATAGGACAAGATGCCAGGTGATACAAGAAAAGATACACAGTGTCAGCTCAGAAATTTTCTTGTCTTACAAATGGAACCGAAATATAATCAAGCTTTTAAAGCTAACTGCCAGTTTACAAAAATTCAGAGAATAGAGGAAAAGTTAATATTATTTTTAAAAAATTAGCTAAATAAAAAAAGCAAAATGTTCTAACGTCACTAAAAGAGATATTATGACCAAATGGAATGTGTGAATCTTGGTTAGATCCTAATTTAAACAAACTAATTGCAAAAAAAAATTTTGGAGAAAACGAAGAAATCTAAATATGGACATGAAAGATTAAGGAATTGATATTAATTTTGATACTAAAGATAATGGTACTGTGAAAATATTTTCAAAAACTTCTTTATTAGGGATATGTACTGAAGTACATTCAGGTGGAGAAACAGGCCTGGTGTTTGTTTTAAAATACTCCAGTAAGCCAGGAACAGTGGTGTATGCCTATAATCCCAGAAGCTGGGGGCAGGAGATTACAAATTTGAGGTCAGTCTAAGGAAATTAGAGAAACCTGTCTCCAAATTAAAATGGCTGAGGACATGGCTCAATGATAGAGAACCCCTGGGTTCAATTCCCAATACCTCCAAAAAAATTAAAAAGTTAAATTTGTGGGGGGAAAATGACAAAACAAGATGGGCAACATGTCAATAATTGTTCACAATACTAGTCTACTTGGGCATGTTTGAATATTTTCTTAATTAAAACATTAAAAACAATATACTCTTTAAAACATATAACTCCCTAAGGGAGATAAATCTCAAGAAACATAGTTAGAAAGATGAAAATAAGAAAAAGAGAGAAGCCTAACAAGGAGGTGAACTCTTACAATTAAAGTATTATCTTACCAATAGGACTACCCACTTGGCATCAGAGCTGTTTCTTTCAGCATGGAAGAATTTTGTCTTAAATCAGAGCTTAAACAGAGCCAAATTCTGACTACATGTTCATTGCTTCAAAAGTAAAAATTTTTTGATACCAGGGATTGAACCCAGGGGTGCTCAACCACTGAACCACATCTCCAGTGCCATTGTACCCAGCTCAAAAGTAAAATATTTGAATACTAGTATATGTTTAGCCACATATGAGAGAGAGAACAATTAAAGCAGTCTGTAGCCAGGCACAGTGGCACATGCCTGTAATGCTAGTGGCTCCAGAGGCTTCGGCAGGAAGATCACAATTGCAAAGCCAGCCTCAGCAACTTAGCAAGGCGCTAAGCAACTCGGTGAGAACCTGTCTCTAAATGAAACATAAAACAGGGTTAGGGATGACTCAGTAATTGAGTGCCCCTGAGTTCAATCCCCAGTACTCAAAAAAAAAAAAAAGGTTACAGGTAAACCTAGTAGTTCAGGAAGCTGAAGCAGGAGGATGGTGAGTTCAAAAAAAAGCCAGCCTTAGCAAAAAGCGAGGCTCTAAACAATTCAATGAGATCCTGTCTCTAAATATAAAATGGGGCTGGGGTATGGCTCAATGGTCAAGCACCCCTGAGTTCAACTCCCAGTGCCAAAAGGGGCGGGTGGGGGGGGGCCTGGGGATGTGTCCATTGGTGCTCTGTACTATTTTTCTTTCTTCAAGTTCCTTAAATTTTGCTGCTATCTTTATTTATTATCTTCTGCAAGCTTTTTTTGTTTAATTTTCTATTTGTTCTTTTTAGTTATACATGACTATAGAATGTATTTTGACATATCAAACATATGGAAACTTTTATTTTAATTTGGTCTTCTTTTTCTAGTTTCTTAGAATGAAAATTGAGATTATTGACTTGAGACATTACTTTTTGTTCTCACATAGGCATTTAGTGCTATATATAAAGTTCCTTTAAACTGTTTCAACTACATCATGCAAACTTTATGTTTTATTTCTGTTTTCATTCAGTTAAAAAAAAATTCTAATTTTACTTCAGACTTTTCCTTTTTTATATACTGGGGATAGATCCCAGCAGCATTCTATTATTGTGCTATATATCCCCAGTCTTTTTTATTTTTTATTTTGAGACAGGATCTCACTGAGTTGCCCAGACTGACCTGGAACTTGCAATCATCTTGCTTCAGCCTCCAAGTTGCTGGAATTATACCTGTGTCCCATAGATTATTTAAAAGTGCGCTTAGTTTCCTAATATTTGGGGATTTTCTAGTATCTTTCTGTTAAGAATTTCTGGTTAATTTCATTATGGATTAGAGAATAAGATACAGTATCATTTCAGTCGTTTTAATTTTTAAAAATTTTTTTTAGTTGTAGATGGACATAATACCTTTATTTTATTTATTTATTTTTATGTGGTGCTAAGGATCGAATCCAGTACTTCATACATGCAAGGCAAGCGCTCTGCCACTGAGCCACAATCCTAGCCATCAGTCCTTTTAATTTTAAGGTTTGGTTTATGGCCAGAATATTTTCTGTCTTATAAATGTTCCACATTTACCTGAGAAATGTGCATTCTGCTAACTTATATTGTTATTTACATTTACAATTAATGAAGCTTCTTATTATGGAACAGAAGGGAAAGTCATTGAATTTTTAAGATAAAAAAATTATTTCTGAATTATGAGTTCTCTCAGGCCATGCCCACAGGCTTCTGAGGTACTATTCGCTGTTGCATAAAAAGTTTACAGGTACTTTCAAGCCTTAGGAAGAATTACCATCTTCATATTGTCACATATATGAGAATCATGGCAGAGACAGTTAATGCAGATTCCTGAGTTCTCTGCCTAGAAAATAATAGCTAGCATTTATTAGATACATTTTCCATGTATTATTTCATTTATGCTTTACAAACATACCTATAAGAGAGCACCATTTTACAAGTGAAGAATGTGAAGTTACTTAGCTTATAAGTGAAAAAAAATCAGTATTGAAAAAAATCAGTATTGAAACCCACCTTTAGTAGGCACAATGGTACACACTTGTAATCTCAGAAATTTGAGGGTATGATGCAGGAGGATGAAAAGTTCAAGGCCCACCTCAGCAACTTAGTAAGACCCTAAGCAACTTAGCAAGACCTTGTCTCAAAATAAAAAAATAAAAAGGTCTGGAGATATTTCTCAGTGGTTAAGCACTACTGGGTTCAATTCCTGGTACAAAAAAAAAAGAAAATCAAGCCTATATAGCTGAGTGTAGTGGTACACCCTGTAGACCCAGCTATTTGGGAGGCTGAAACAGGAGCATTGCCTGAGTCCAGCAGTCTGAAATCAGCCTGGGCAACAGAGACCTCATCTCAAACAATTAAAATTAGGGTTGGGATTATAGCTCAGTGGTAGAGTGCTTGCCTCTGCACACATGAAACACTGGATTTGATCCTCAGCACCACAAAAAAATAAATAAAGTATTTATTTTATAAAAAACAAAGAAGTTTTTTTAAAAATACTTCTATTTTAATTTTTTTGTTTTAGTTGTTGATGAACCTTTATTTATTTATTAATTTATATGTGGTGTTGAGAATCGAACCCAGTGCCTCACCCATGCTAGGCAAGTGCTCTACCACTGAGCCACAACCTCAGCCCAGTTATTAAAAAAATATTTTTAAGTAAAATAATAAAGACTCAACCGGGCATGATGACAAACACCCATAATCCCAACTACTCAGATGAGGCAGGAGGATCACAAGTCCAAGGCCCGCCTGGGCAACTTAGTAACATGCTGTCTCAAAATACAATAAACAAAGATCAGGAATGTAGCTTAATGAAACAGCACTTGCCTAGTATGTACAAGGCCATGCATTCAATCCCCAGTACTGTTTAAAAAAATAACTTTTAATATAAAGACTCTGAAGAAAAGCCCCTGTCTCTAAAAAAAGCATTCACTTGTAGCAAAGCTGTTTGTCAAACTTATCTTGAGCTCTAAACATTCTCAGGAATAGATATTACAATGGGATGAAGGAAAAGAATAAAAAGCAATCATGTGGTCATTATAAACTCATTTGCTTCCAAAATCAAGAGACATAACATCCTTCTAATCAGCTGTGCTTAAATTTATAGATTTAAGATACCTGAGCTAGGAATAGAGGTGCATGCCTGTATAATCCCAGCTTCTCAGGAGACCAAGGTAGGAGAATCTCAAGTTGAGGCCCGCCTTGGCAACCTAGCAAGACCCTGTCTCAAAATTTTAAAAAATATGGACAGGAATGTAGCTCAGTGCCAGAGGGCTTGCTTCACATGCTCAAGGTCCTAGTTTGAGCTCCAGTACCAAAAAAAAAAAAAAAAAAAAGAGTAAGGGGAAGGGGAGAAGGAAGAGGGGAAAAAAGGAAGAAATCTGAAAAATAAACTGGTATGATCTGGTCAAATGGGGACAAAAAATAAGCTAGATTTCTATTTTATACATTCACTTTAAAAATCTACATAAAGAACTAAAATAAGCATAAAATATAAGACTATCAAGTATATGAAGAAAATACAAAATACATATCTATAATTTGGGGTAAATAGGCTTTATACAAGATCAAAGTTGTTGTATCTAGCTCTATCACAATCAGAAACTGCTATATAACCAAACACCACAGAAAAAATATAATTCATGTGTTCTTGCAATAATAAACTTATAATAATCTGGGCCCAGGAATATATCTTAGTGCCAGGCCAGTAAGATGATCATTCTGGAATTTATGAATGTTTGCTTTTGATTAGAAAAAGCCTAAGGTGGGGGTGGGGCTGGGGTTGCTGCTTGGCGGTAGAGCACTCGCCTAACACATGCAAGGCACTGGGTTCGATCCTCAGCACCACATAAAAATAAAATAAAGGTATGTGTCCAAGTACAACTTAAAAAAAAATATTAAAAAAAGCCTAAGTACCTTCTTATTTTAAGACACTACTTCATGGCAAATAAAATGGCTAGGCCAAAGAACTGGAAAACCAAATCCCTAATGATCTGCTTGGCACAGCTTCTATTTGGCTAATTTTATTTTATTTTTTTTTAAGAGAATTTTTTTTTAATATTTATTTTTTTTTTAGTTTTCAGTGGACACAACATCTTTGTTTGTATGTGGTGCTGAGGATTGAACCCGGCTGCACGCATGCCAGGCGAGCGCGCTATCCCTTGAGCCACATCCCCAGCCCCTATTTGGCTAATTTTAATTAAAACATTTTCAAGGTTGCTCTCACAAAGGCCCCTATTAGACCTCAGGTTTTCCTAAATAACTTTTATATAAACCCCAAGTCAATCAGCTGAAAACCTGCAGGTGGCGAGGCGCTGAGCCCGGGATGGGCCAGGCAGCCTGAACACTTGAGCATCGTAGGCATCATAATCTACTTGGATTGGAAGGGCATTCTCAGATTCTTTTGGAGTCCCAAGAGCTGAAATACACAAATAGTACAAACTGTCACCCAAAGATATTTCACACATTTCTTCACCAACATCTGTGAGACACTAGGTTCATCATCTACCTCTGAGAAAATGGAGATAATAGCCCATTGATAAGGTTGTTAAGATGAAATGACTTTTAAGTTAAAGCAACAAAGAAATAGTACAGAACTAAATAAAGGCAACTTATTGGTAGCATTTCATTCCTATGTGATCCCTGTTAAAAAAAATCCAGGGCTGGGGTTGTGGCTCAGTGGTAGAGCACTTGCCTAGCATGTATGAGGTTCTATCTGGGTTTGATCCTCAGCACCACACAGAAATATATAAGCAAAATAAAAATATTGTGTCCATCTACAACTAAAAACAGTTATTTTTTAAAAACTATATATCATCTTATATGTTTAATGCTTTAAAACTTTCTACCTGATCTCTACAATTGACCTGTGGAAAACAAAAAAAGATTTCGTCATCATCCAACTTGCAATTGACATGACAAAAATACAAGGTGGCTAAGAAGTGACACAAAGGGAATTCAGGTCTCCCAACTGTTCAATGAATTTTCTTAAGCAATTTCATATAATTTTGTCGCCATGGGTTAGCTCTTTCTAAAAGTGATGAAAGAAGGTCTCAAAAAATGTCAAAGGACTTAAAATCAGCATACTACAGTAATATAGCCACATCAAAGTTTACAGCAGCTCAATTCATAATAGCTAAACTATGGAACCAACTTAAATGTCCTTCAAGAGATGAATGGATTTTAAAAAATGTGGTATATATACTCAATGGAATATTACTCAGCTTTAAAGAAGAGTGAAATTATGGCATTTGTTAATAAATGGTTAGAGTTGGAGAATATTATGCTAAGCGAAATAAGCCAACCCACAAAACCAAAGGCCAAATGTTTTCTCTTAATATGTAGATGCTAATTCACAATAAGGCACTAGAGAAGAATACTGTTACCTTAGATAGAGGGAAGTGATGGGAGGAGAGGGAAGGGGATTGGGGATAGGAAAGATAGTAGAATTAAATAGACATTATTACTTTATGTATGTATGTGACTGCATGACCAATATGATTCTGCAACAGGTACACTCAGGAAAATGAGAAATTATATCCCATCTATGTATGACATATCAAAGTGCATAAATGCATTCTACTGACATGTATAACTAATTAAAACAAATTTAAAAATTAATAAAAAAATACTCACATGTATCACGTCCATTTTTTGCTTTTTCAGAGGCAGGCTATAAAATTGAAAAGATTTAATCACTCTCCTATGCCAGAATAGAACATCTCACAAAGTTTAGTATATATGTGGCTGCTCCCCAGGACAAAGACAATGTCTCAACCCTTCCTATAACTGATGGGAAGGCAGGAAGCTAAGATCTGACACCCACCTTACACAGCATCAGACCTTGCAAGATCCCTTACTTCCCACCTCAAATCTGATTAATTCTTACCACCCCAACCACTGGTGGAACTGGTGAGTATACTCAATTCTATAAAGAATAAGGAATTTGGGCTGGAGTTGTGACTCAATGGTACAGCCTTGCCTAGCATGCGTGAGGCAATGGGTTCGATCCCCAGCACCACATTTTTTAAAAAATAAACAAAATAAAAGCACAAAAAAATTTTTAAAAAAAAGAAGAAAAAGGAATTTGCCCAAAGTCATACAATCAGCAGGTGGCAGAGTCAAAATACAAACCCAAATTTTCAGACTTATGTTCAATCCACTGCTATATTTGTTCTACCTTGGCTAGGTCCCACCTTGAACCCTGCATGCTTCCCCTCCTCCATGACACAATCACCTGTCTGTCTACACCTACCAGAGCAGAGCACTCCAAACATTGTCCAATTTGCTGAAACGGAGTACAAAGGTGGAAGAGAAAAACTGATAGCATTATCACTTTTATTGTTTGTTTGGGAGTAATGGGGATTGACCCCAGGACCTGTGCATGCTACACATGGGCTCTACCACTGATTTACATACCCACTCCCTGCCTTATTATATGTTTATCTAATACAGAAAGTTATAACATTCTTTTTTGTTTTTCTCCTGCATTACTAAGGATAGAACTTAGGCTCACACATGATAGGCAAGTGATCTACCAATGAACTATATCCCCAGTCCTTTTTGTAAATTTTGAGACAGGGTCTTGCTATGTTGCCCAGGCTGACCTTCAACTTGTAATCCTCCTGCCTCTGCCTCAAGAGTAGGAAGGCTGACAAGTGTGTGCTACCACACCCATTCAAAAATTGTATAATTCTAAGGTAAATTTCTTATGCCCTATTTATGACCATGTGGAGAGATAAAGGTACCCAAGAATCATATATTATAATTACATTGACGTGTGACAGTTCCCAAAGGTTCTGTGGGTTTGATGACACCTACCTTCTTTCCGGCCAGTTTAATTCGTGGGGTGAAACTGTTACAAAAAAGCTGGCTTTTGGATGTGTAGAAACTATTTAAAAAAAAAAAAAAGTAAACAGGGTCATTAATCAAAACCTTAAGACACTGCTGTAATCCTAAGCATAGATCTGCCCTCCCATGATTGGCACTGTTTTTAGGCTTCAATGAGCTTTCATATTCTAACTTCTTTTGTAATCACTATAAAACATTAATTATGTTTTTAATTATTCTATTCCTTTTTTCCCATAGGTTGTTTCATGTGTGCTAATCCTATATGCTAACTATAATTGGATCAGAATTTCCTCCTTGTGGCAGGGATTAAATCTATTTACCCCGTGATACTTTTCACCTTGATTTTTGCCATGGGGTGGGCACAAGAGAGGTTCTTATCACTCACTCATAGATCAGCATTTAGTAAGCATGAAAAAGCCAGACAAGAAAGGGAAAGGATTAGTACTCAAGAAAAAGATGGCAGAAACCATCAAATCTTAATCCCTCTGAAAATAATCTTAATACAGTAATGTCTAAGCTCACAAAAAAATAAAAACCAGTTTTGCACTGGGTACACTGAATGAATGAATGAATGAATGAATGAATGAATGAATGAATGAAGGCTATAAAGCCTTTCTATTCCTCAGGCATCTCTTGTATTCTCTTCCATCATTAACTTTTAAGTGAGATTTGGAATGGTGACCAATCCACACCTTCCATCAAATCTCTGCAAAAATAAAAAAATATTAAAAGGCACAATGTTGGCAAATAATCAGTAGACCATGGGGCAATCCTAGTGAAATATTAAATACAAGAACATAAGAATGTTACCTGTCATCAGACATAGGGATTACACCCCTGTGATTTGTCTGTCCCAGTGGTATCAAGGAAAGTACCAAGTAGAGTCTGCTACTCTATTCCCAGACACTAATTATAAAAGATCTGAGTGATAAAGTGATGTCAGCCAGAAGAATGGGTTTCTATTAAACTGAACCACATGAAATTGAAATTTCTGAGGGTCAGTCTAATATGATTTCAAATGATTGAAAGTAACAGCTACAACTTTGTCATGGACACCCTGTTCAACCCCAGGCAAGGCACTTAACCTCTCTAGAACTCAGCTTTCATTACTATATAATGTGACTGAATGAATGGTCTACAGGATCTCCAAGATAGAGTCCCATTATATCCTGTCATATCCCCTACATCCCATTTACATAATTCTTATATATATGATATTAATTTACTCTGTGGATCAATTTTCATCATTAGTCTGAAATACTTCAGGGGTACTATGATCTCACTTAAGAAAATGTGATCAAGTTTACTAAGGCCTCTGGCCTTATCTAATAGAAACATGTTGCCCACTTACTTCTGAAGAAGCTTTGCTGAAAGAAGAAAACAAATGGCTCCTATAAGCAGTGTCCATCTTTGTACCCTTGTTCCCATCACCAAATGGCTTGGGCAAACAGGATTAACAGTGAAATGAGAAAAGCAGGTCTTGAGCTACCCCCTACCACTGCCCCAGTGAAGCTCCCAACATGCACATCCATGCTATATCATTAGCTGGCAGTAGAGAACCAATTTAGTATGATAAATAAAGTGATAATTCAGGAAACATTCAAGATACTATTAAGTAAAACTTGAGAAAATTACAAAACTTCAATTCATATAAAATTTTGTGAATTTTATAACTAAATTCAAAACCATGAACTACAATGTATAATTAAACAGTAACTTTTTTTTTAACTGAGAAATAAATATGAAAGGCTATTAAAAAGTTCAGTTAATTGCCCATTCCTGTAATCCCAGCAACTCAAAGGCTGAGGCAAGAGAATCTCTAGTGCAAGGTTAACTTGGGAAAGTTAGCAACAGCCTGTCTCAAAATGGAAACTAAAAAGGATAGGAATGTAGCTCAGTGGCAGAACACCTCTTGGTTTAATCCCCAATACCAAAAAAAAAAAAAAAAGTATAATGGGAACTTGGGGTTGAGCTCAGTGGTAGAGCACTTGCCTATAGCATTCACATGTGATCTCTATTACTGCAAAGAAAAAAAATGTTATCACATCATCTTATAAAACTAATCCTATCTTGCTCTTTCCTAATTCCTCACCTATGAATAATTACAACAACCACCATACTAATGGCAACATAACCTAAAAGAAAGATAATGGATAAACACAATAAGGCTAAACTCAACATTTATGATGAGTTTTCAAGCTGGTTTCCAGTAAAGATTTGAAACTAAATAAAACCAAAATGTAAAGTTCTATTGAGCTTAAGATGTAAGTCAAGCAGTCTGTCCTTCATGAGTCTCAGCATAAAAAAGACAACAGACAAAGGTAGAATGCTCCGGAAGTAATGAAAAAAAAAGCAGCTATTGGCTATCAGGAGCAGTACAGAAAAGACTCAAGAGAAGAGATATGTTCGAGCTGGGCCTCAGAGGATGAACAGACATTTGCAAAAGAAGGACAGGCAGACAGTCCTTCTAGGCAGGAAGACCCAGAAGAAGTAACAGTGAGGTATATCTGCCATATAGAATGAAAGAGGGCAAGTCGTAGGACAGGAAGTCTCACAGATGTCAAAAGCTCTAGTCTTTATCAAGCTGGCATGAGAAATTAAAAGAGAAAAGGCAGGGCTGGGGATGTGGCTCAAGCGGTAGCACACTCACATGGCATGCGCGGGGCACTGGGTTTCATCCTCAGCACCACATAAAAATAAAAATGTTGTGTTCACCGAAAACTAAAAAATAAATGTTAAAAATATTCTCTCTCTCTCTCTCTCTCTCTCACTCTCTCTCTCTCTCTCAGAGAGAGAGAAAAGGCAATAGGATTTGGTTTTACAGAAAAATGCCTCTAACAATCAGGTAAGGCACTGGTTGACAGACATTTGTCCCAGACTTCAAGGTTCCTTGGTGCTACATCAGGGCCTATTGTGTGAGAGAGGAACACTAATACTTTTTCACTTTTCTATATTAGAATTCCAGGGAAAAAGTCTTGTCACTTAAGAACAAAATTTAAAAGAAAAGAAGAAAACCACAGGCTTAAAGAAATGCTTCTAAATGGAGGTGCAGGATCTGGGCACCCAAGGAACATATGGCAATGTCTATAGACCTTCTTGGTTGTCACAACTGTGGGTTTAAGCCACTGGTATCTCGTAAGAAGAGGTCAAGGATGCTGCTCAGTTTTCTACAATACACAGGTCAATCCCCCACAACAAAAAAAATGTTCTTCTAGTCCAAAATGTCAGTAGTGGCAAGGTGGAAAAACCTTGGCCTAAAGGATGGTTTGAAGAAAGGACAGATTAGAAACAGACACACCAGTTGGGTTCAATGGCACATGTTTCAATTCCAGATATTTGGGAGGCTGAGACAGGAGAATCAAAAGTTCAAGGCCAGCCTGAGCAACTTAGCAAGACCTTCAGCAACTTAAAGAGACTCTTGTCTCAAAAAATAAAAAGGGCTGGGTATGTAGCTCAATGGTAAAGTGCCACTGGGTTCAATCCCCAGTATCAAATAATCATTATCATCATCATCATCATCATAAAAAGAAATAGACATACCAATGAGATTAGTGTAATAGTTGAAAAAAATGAGGACCAGGATAAGGCAGTGGTATTAGCAGAGGGATGAAAGAAAGTACTCTGAGCTGGAATCAGCAGCAACACTGAGACCATATCCTATTTGGAGAAGAGGCTGAGCTGAAATCAGCACGGATACTGAGACTATATCTCATGTGGACAAGGTCATGGGAACTTTTCTACAAATGGAGGGGGCCAGGCACAAAGTTGATCTGCTAGGGGCTGTGGGAGTTGGGAATAGGACTTGGCAATAGTAGCAGAAATATGGTATTCAAGACCTGTTTTATTTTTCACTATAAACTGATCCACATTACTGCTGAAATTTTGCATATAGAGAATTGTTAAGTAAATGCTAGAACTTTAGCTCCCGTGTTGTTATTGTGGTGGTGCTCAAAGCCAAGGATTTTACAAATGCTAGGCAAGTGCTCTACTACTAAGCTACATTCCCAGTCCCACATTCTTGTGACAAAAGGTTTAGTGCCATAAGAACAGAGTTAAAGGGCTGGGGCTGGGGCTGAGTGGTAGAGCCCTTGCCTGGCATGTGTGAGACACTGGGTCCAAATCTCAGCACCACATATAAATAAATAAAGGTCTATCAACAGCTAAAATATATATATATATATTTATATATATTTTAAAAAAAGAACAGAGTTAAAGAGAAAACAGCAAGGACACTATTCAAAATCCTTATCATCCCAAATGCAGGCTGCAGAATCACATCGGTTACACATCCACAATTTTACATAATGCCCTATTAGTAATTGTTGTATTCTGCAATCTGCATTTGGGGTAAAATTGGGAGTTCATAACCCACTTCAATCTAATGTATGAAATATGATATGTCAAGAGCTTTGTAATGTTGTGAACAACCAATAAAAAAAATCCTTATCATCTACTGTTGATCATGCCTACCTGTGGTTTATCCAATGAGGAATATTATAGTCATCACCCAGCCGAGAATCTCGAGGAGCACTCCGATTGTGTAGCTGTGAGGGAAAAAGCACAAAGATAAGCTAGAAAAGACGACAGACAAGGAACTGTTCCACCTTTTCTGTTTTTAACTATTTTCCAACTGGCCTTTGGGAAAACAATTCAAAATCTAATCACCTTGAACAATGGGACAGCATGTAATGGTTGCTCTCCCATGCACACCAAGTCTACACCAATTCCTAAAAAAGAGTAAGGGGAGGGGAACAGCAGAGATTAGTTTTCCAATCTATTAATGATGTTATTTAGCCTGGTCTGAAGCCAAGTCAGCATACCATTCTACTTAACCTCGGTAGTACTGCCTACTCAGCACAGTAAACAGATGCATTTTGTCTATTTTTTCCTCTATTGAATCCTGTCATACTATTCAGTGCTTGAAAATTAGCCTGAGTGCCTTCCAGGTCATGATTCATGAAAAATGACAAGGGCTCCTTTATTCAAGTTTTAAGATCAAGAAGTAAAAGGAATCTTATAATCTTGATAATATAAAACAATCTAGATCACTTAACAGAACTTTTTTCTTTTTTTTGTGTGGTGCTAGGTATTGAACCCAGAGATTTATACATACTAGGCAAGCACTCTACCCCTGAGCTACATCCATAGCCCCAGGGCTTCTTTATTGGCAATCATGATTTACTTTCTCAATTCTATCTCTTTGATGATACACAAATCAAACTGGGAATACGGATCCAAGATAGGGATGCATGGCACATCAAAGAAAGAGGATTGGACCAGATGATTTACTAATGCTTCCACCAAACATAAACTGATGGCATGTTTGTCTTTTAAAATAATCTCCCCTAGAAAGGAGTTCCTAGTGTCAAATATGTTTGAAAACTCAGAATACCAGACATTCCCTTTAGAGATAAACAAGATACACTAACATATTTAAAAATTCTGAGGAAGGGCCAGATACAGTGGTGCAAACCTATAATCTCAGCCACTCAGAAGGCTGAGGCAGGAGAATTATAAGTCTGAGGCCAGTCAGGGCAACTTAGGAAGACCTTGTCTCAATATAAAAAGGACTGGGAATGTAGCTCAGTGGTACAGAGCTTGCCTAGTATGTATGAGGCCCTGGGTCCAATCCCCCCTCCCCCCCCAAAAAAAAAAATACACTAAGAAAGATGACACACAGAACACCTTGTAGAGCTTCTCATAACTCTAAAGTCAATAAAAACTCTGAGATCTAAGGACAAGTCAGACCCTGAACACAAGAGACAGTACAAACAAGACAGTGTTACCATTATCTATCATCCGTTGTTTGGTCAAAATCATGAGTAGGCGGTCCACTTCAAAGACACCCACCCCAGGCGTGATCACCACAGACATCTGCCCAGTCCGGTCAAAGTTGCGGTTGATATAGTGCTTGTCAAACACTTGAAAGAAAACAAAAATTCCCCAATAATGTTAACAGTTTTTCAAAAACTAGTTACTAGCAAGTATCTCTGTGCTCTGAGCATTTTATGCATATTTTGATAATAGCTATTGCCACTCTCTGACCTGAATTCTAGCTAAAATGTATATGTCTTTCCTCTTTTACATTAACAACTCCCTCAACAAAGGACTATATTACTGTTACTTTTGTCAATCCCCCTTATCAATGCTTAATATTTGCCTTGTGCAGCCTAAATGCTCAAATTTCATGCCATAAATTTAATAACCCATCAAGGAGTCTGTACTGAAACTTCCAAAATCAAATATTTATTTTAGACAATATTTAAAATATTAAACCAAAAGCTTGGGATAACTTTGTAAATCTGGCAAATTTTTATTTCTGGACTCTGAAATTCTTACTATGGAAAATCAGTGATATTCAAACTTGACAAATAGATTTACTAATAAATTACACGAAACTCTTGTTGGGCACAATGGCACATGCCTATAATCCCAGGTATTCAGGAGGCTGAGACAGAAGAAAAATTAGGCCAACTTCATCAATTTAGTAAGACACTCAGTAACTCAGTAAATCCCTATCTCAAAATAAAAAATAAAAAGGGCTGGGGATGTAGCTCAGTGGTAAAGAACTCTCAGGTTCAAGTTCAAGTACCAAATATATATGTACAATTAAATAAGTAACACCATCCTCTAGAATTCTCCTGCATCTGAATACAGACACTTGGGAAGGTAATATACAAAGTGAAGTGAAAATATATCACTTCCACCCAGTCCAGTGTCAAGCTGACATCAATCTGGAGCTGCTTCCCTGGAGCTGCTTCTGGCAGATTCCTTCGGCCAAAATGTAGATTTCTGAACAGAAAGCAGAGACAGGCAGGTTGCTAGGGACTAAATGTGGCTCCACAAATTCCTGCTGATGTTATTTCTGAGACACCAAGATCCCCACCTTCTCAAGCAATGAATTCATGTCTTTTCAATCTGCCTCATCAAGTCCCTGCATCTTCACATAAATTTCTTTTCATTTAAACCAACTCAGAAGGTTTCTGTTATTGGCAAATAATAGTATCTCAGCTACCACAAAAACACAAGGACAATGATCCTTAGGAAGGAAATCACACCACATTTCCTAACACTTGACTCCTCTTGAAAAGTACTGATAGGGGAGTGACTTTTTCTTATTTGATATACCATTCTATACTTTTATTTATTTTTTTTAATATTTATTTTTTAGTTGTAGGTGGACCCAATATCTTCATTTTACTTTTATGTGGTGCTGAGGACCAAACCCTGTGCCTCACGCCTGCGAGGCATGCGCTCTACCACTGAGCCACAACCCCAGCCCCTACTTTTATTAATTTTTCCTTTTGTTTTTCTTTTTTTTTTTTTAATTGGTTCTTTTTAGTTACATTCAACAGCAGAATCCATCATGATATAATTACATAAGTTGGAATATATCTTATTCTAGGTTAGAGTCCCATTCTTATGGATATACATGGTGGTGGGATTCACTGTATTATTTTCATATGTGTACATGGGAAAACTGTATCAGATTCATTCCACTGTCTTTCCTTTGCTTTTCGGGGGATGGGTACCAAGGATTGAACTCAGGGGCACTTAACCACTGAACCACATCCCCAGCCCTACTTTGTCTTTTATTTATAGACAGGGTCTCACAGAGTTGCTTAGCACCTCAATTTTGCTGAGGCTGGCTTTGAACTCACGAATTCTCCTGCAGCCTCCTGAGCCACTGGGATGACAGGCGTTTGCCACTGTGCCTGACTCCTTTGCTATTTTAAGTAATTTTTAAAAATTACCCAGAAGCAGTTGAGGGATGAGTTGAAAAATAAGAATACAGTTTGTAGTATTGAAAAAATAAAAAGAACCAAAGGAAGATTTCCTCCAGTTCATTATGAGACTACAAAATTAATTTCCTAACAGAAGACTCAAAAGGTAAGTGTTGGTCATTAAGACCAACTAATCAGAAGTCACTACTTAGAATTAATTTGGGGAGTGGGTGGATGGAGGCATCATTGACTAGGTCTGGAACTCTGGGCATCAGTAAAGTCTATAATCATATACCAAATAAGATGCTGGCTGTGGCTGGTGTCTGTACTTACCATTGAATGACAGATTGATGGCCTCTAGGTAGTTTCCTTGTGCTGAGGTAGAATTATCTCCTTGAGGAAAGCCCTCTGAAGCAAAAAGAGAAGGAAAAACATCTCATGAAAGATGAAAAAAATTATTTTTCTACTGGGGATTGAACCCAGAGGTATTTTATCACTGAGCTACATACCCAATCCTTTTAATTTTAATTTTGAGACAGGATGTCCCTAAATTGCCTAGGCTGTCCTTGAATTTGCAATCCTCCTACCTCAGCCTCCCAAGTCACTGGGATTACAGAAGTGTGCTTATGAAAAATGAATTCTTAAAAAATTAGTAGAAGGATCATGTTAATTGAAATAAGCCAATCCAAAAAACCAAAGGCCAAAAGTTCTCTCTGATATGCAGATGCTAACACAATAAGTATGGGGGCAGGGGGATAGAAGTTCACTGGATTAGACAAAGGGGAATGAAGAGAAGTGGGTGTGGAGGATGAGAAGAGGAAAGGCAGTAGAATGAACCTGACATAACTTTATAATGTTCATATGTGAATACGTGAAAAGTATAACTCCACATGTATAACCACAAGAATGGAAGTTATACTCCATGTGT